ATTTCGAATATTGATTATTGTCTATCCCTTTTTGTGATTAACGAGCCAATAATTCGAGTCGGCTTTTCTTGGGTCGAGCTTTCAGGTATAGATAAGTTTCTCAGCACCACAGAAAAACAAGGTTGTTGTTATTGTTGTCAACACGGCAGGAAGAAATTCCTCAATCAGGAATGTCATGTCGAGTACAGGCTAGAAAATGTATGCGGGATATCTTATTGCAGCGAGGATAGCCGAATTATTTGTGGTGAAACAGTTTTATCTGCAGGTACCATAGCAGACCAAGGGAATTGAACAGCTGTTCTATCTTTGTTGGGACCATTCAATGATTCGCACTATTTTTTTATCTCATCAGGACTTGAATTGCGAATGCTGGGATTGGACACCGAAACCCCTAGCCCTGAAATGCACAGCCGCCGGGAAATATCTCAACTGTGTGGCCATTTTATTCAAGCAAGACTGCGTCCAATCTGTGCGAACTGAAAGACGCTAGGGTCTGTGTGCCATTTTGCGGTGCATGTGTGTGTGCATCAATTCTTATGACCTCGTCCCTCCAATACATATAATCGATGACGCAACAAAGTCTTACAGTTCAAACTAATAAGAGAAATCCAGAGTCGTCAATCGCAAAACATCTCATGGCAACTGGACACATTGTTGACCCACAAATGTCGTTCAAGCCGTTATTACGTGACATGAACCCCAGGATTTTCGTGTTTAGCGAGGCTATGCTAATCAAGTTACGTAACCCGATCTTATGCGTATAAACGTTTCTCACACAATCAGTCAGACTACCGTGGAACTGATATTTTATCCCAACCTCTTCCCCACTCTCCTGACTATTGTCCGCGTAACCACTGTAGTTATCAAAACTTACTTGTATAAATACCAGATTGTTTTACATTTTAGCAACTAAGAGAGATTAAAAGAAATGTTAACAACTCGTAGTATTTATCTTCTCTCAGTTCTAACGTATTGGATAAAAGGGACCCAATATTTCATGTAAGATGTATTGACCGAATGTGGAAGAAACAAATGTCTATCAGTTTTATTGATGATCGAAGTGAAACATTTCATATATTTGAGCTGAATATCCTTCGGACTTTACCTTCACACACAATCCTCAATTCATCGATTCAACCATACACTCAGAAGCACTAGACTCGAGTTCCGCTCTTACTAGAGCTCATCAGTAGTGCATTTGAAGTGAGGATTGTGCGTGGAGGTGAAGTTCGAAGTTTAGCCAACTCAAATCTATAAAAATCAATTATCCCACATTACTACTCATGAGTAACTGAGAGTCAAATGCGAAACATTTCATTTCAAATAAAATGCACCAAACATGTGGAAAATAAATGAACGCCGAAGAATTGAGATCCACATGAGAAGAACAATACATAAGGAAGGAAATTCGGGTTGTTCCCGTGCATCGTTCGCTCATCCAGCATAACCACGGTTTTCTATTGCCACGCATTACCATGGCATTCGTATGCATGAATCGGTGTGGGAGACCTCATTTATTCCAAATGCTCGTGTACAGACAACTGGCTAAAGCGTCGATTGAATGACAAACAATCCTTCACCTTGGAAAACCCCTGTAACTGACTATCTACATGAAGGATTTTAGATGTACTGGGTACCTTCGCCGCTTAACTGTGATGAGTCTACCCTCAGAGATGACGCCAGCCAAGGACCTAGGCGTTCCAGGTTCTGGACATCAGGTCACGTGCCAACAGTATCGATGACTCAACGACTGTGCAGTTCAAACAGAAGTCGTGTTACTCGGAGAACAATGATGGCAATTGGTTTCTACCCGTTTGACCAATATTATTTCTATCTTCTTGTCATTTAGTCTTATTGATTTCTCTGAATAAAACGAACCGCCACTTCTGTGGCCTTCTTCCGGACTCTCGGTGACGGGAGATTTCAGCATACGATTGTTAGTGCGATTCTGTGTTTCATTTCCAGTGGTGATTCGTGACCTGGAGTTCTTGCCTATTCCAACTAATACAGTAATACATTACTTTATTTAATTTCTTTATCGTACCGCTTGTGTTACCACGCTGCACAGTGTTAGAACATGACAGTGTACGTGTTGGTTCACATATAGTGGGGGAACGTAGTCCGAAGCGTTGTGCGTATTTTCATAAACATCTTCTGTATCTGGTCTGATTATAACGGTTTGATGATGTGTAGATTTCACTAACGCTTTCCCACATTTAATGAAATGCCCTATTTCCCCAACATCCCGTTACCAGTATATCTTGAAGTGGATTCAGGAAGTGCAACGACTTCATCCGGAAGCCGTGTTTGCCGTTTTGTTACCGCATCCGTTGGAATACGCACGAATTGGAAGCTGTTGGTCAGTATTTCACACTTAACATAATTCAATTTTTTGTCAGACATCAAACAATTTGCCCCAATTCATTCTTATAGTTTCATGTGGAATTATAAATTTATTCACTCACACAAATTCAATTAGCATCGTAGTTTATGATTTTCATGAGGTAGAACGTGAGAGAAGAATCGTTCATCAATCATTGGCCGACAAGACTCCTTAAACTATCAGGAAATCGCTTGTTTATGTGCAGCTAAGACTGTTCTGTGGAGAATCACATTTACACTGTTGTTAGATTGAAGATCAATTCAAAAAGCGATGGATCGGAATGCGATTACTTTTCGCGGAGTGTATGACCCCGATAATCGGTATCTGTGTTATTTGAGGAATTAAGCGCATCACACTTCATCTGTGTCCATGTCCAGTGGGTGATAGTGTGGGGATCCAAATACACGTGACCGCATTCCAAATACGACCAGGTACAGCTTCATGTCGTCCAATCAAATTTCCTTAAGCTGAAAATCACATCCGAATTAGTACATGTGATACGTCTGCGCAAACGGTCACGTGATTGGACGACGGTCCTTCGACCAATGATATGGCCTATTACTTTCTATAAAACATGCTCTAATTCTATCAATAAAAAAACACTTACTGCTACCAATTCCTCGTGTGTTTCACTGATGTCGGTAGTTCTGGTTAAAGCCCATCCAGCTCTGAGCATTACAGTACAGTTTCTCGTATTCCAATATTCAATACTATGCTGATTACCACAGATAGCTTGAAGTAACTAACGAACTGGTTAGTATCCCTAAAACGTTTCAGTCAGTCGACCGTGATTTATACTGTGCAATGCGAATACAAGTCAGATTATTTCCAGTTATTCTATTTTTTTCTCACAGAAAAGTATGAAGCTTTCGTTCAATCATGTCTTTAATTCTTTCAGGGATGCTCTCTGTGATCGCACGACGCAAGTTAAACATGGACTGAGTCGAATCGGGAGCCTGATTCCATACGATATTGTCACATTTGAGGTTTGTGCCGCGTGGTGCTTGCAGTGCGGTTGCTTTTACACTGTTTTAGTCGTTTAACATCAACTAAATGGTTGATCGTACACCGCACAAAAATGTGTAGTCTCTAAATTATAGAAAAATGCATTTTCAGAAGGGAATACTAATTGTTTTAACCATGGGTACTTCTCGCCACTTGGGTGTGACTTAGTCAGGATCAATAACTTCCTCAGCTATATCTTTTGCAAGTCACGTTATCCAAATATCATTCCTAAATGTCCATGGGTCATTTCAAGTTGTCCGAGCATCATTTCAAGGTATCTCGTCGACCATATCAGTGGTAACAAACCTCCTAGCAATGTCTGGATAACCACCATGCAGCACAGACTCCTTTAACTCCCGTTGAAGAGCCGGCGGTGGAGGATGATTGTGAGACGTGCCTCGGTCACACACCGCAATTCTCGCGATATACATGTTGGTTGTTTATCTTGCTAGTGTGTGTGTGTGTGTTCGTCCTGCCCTCCCTCGCCCCCGCTGACACCGATGAATCATGCACGAGCAACGCTTGTGGCATTGCTTACCTCCGTAACATGATACTGCAATAGAAATCATGAGCTACACCTCAAGCGGCTGCACTGGGACACCAATCGATCATGGTCGATCGTTATAGGCATCAGATTAACATCCAGTTTGTTTGCGTCTTTCATGTTATATTCCATCCCTGTGATGCCACCACAAAAACACCTTCAAGTACTGAACCATCAGCAACAATCAACATTATATAAAAAAGTGTACCGATCTCCTGAGACTTACTCAGTGATCGAACATTCTCACAAATTCTGATTGGTAGTGGCTTCGGTAATCACTATTTTCAGACCTACCACAGTGTTGTTCCCATTGTGAAACTGAATCGAGAAATGGGACTGTCCCTATAATTTATGCGCACCTTCCGATATTCGGCTAGCTTTATTTGGCAATTGTTCGAAACCAGTTTGCATTTACTACTTGTGAATGTCATACGTTAATATCTTAATTCACCCGAGTTTTCATTTGTGTGGTGGAAGTGTTTGAGTAGGACGAGATAATTTCAGCGATAAAGATAATCGAATTCGGAGTCCATACTCAGCAAAGTGCACTTTTGAAAACATTCTAATTATTGAACTTATAACTTGTTCTAATATTCCGTAACTATCACAAGATTTATGGTTTACTTCGACAGTCCTCGTTACGTCGTTTCAGTTGCAGTATGTTTGACAGATATCTCATTCCGTTCTGGAAATACGATCAAAACGGTCATTTTGATTGTGTAGCTTATGAATCCTATTGCAGCATCATGCTAAAGAGGTAAGCACTCGCTCAGGCGTTGATCGCCCATGATCCCGTGGTATCAGCGGAGGGGGACGAACACACACAAATGCACACAGACGCGTACACACGTGTGACCGAGGCTCGTCTCAAAATCGTTTCCCCCCCCCAGCTCTTCAACTGGAGTTAGAGAAATCTGTGCTGCGGGGTGGTCATCCAGACATCGCTGCAAGGCTTCTCAGCACCGATGAGGTGAACGAGATACTTTGAAATGATGCTCATACATCTTGAAATGATATTCGGACAATTTGACTTCCAAAAGGTATGAATTGTTCTACGACGCAAACAATGAGAACTACAATCCGGATTGAAGACCTGGTGAATAGCACGAAATCAGGCAGAAACTAGACAAGCTTTGGTTAGAGAATATTTATATATTCTAGATTGTTCAGTTGCTGGTAATGTGGTCCTTATATTCGGAATATTAGT